TGGAAATATTACAAAAAACGTATTGTTCTTACTCTCTTTCTCACTCACATACGTGTGTGTATGAGTGAGAAAGTATTATAGACACAAATATATTCATACACGTGTCCAATAATGTGAAGTAACGTCTTCAGATAGTATAAATTAAGCTACCTATTTTGATTTTTTTTTATTGTTTACGCACACTAATAGTGAGTTTCCAGTAATTGTGTTAACAAAATAAAGAAATTGATATCTAAAATACAGGCCTAGGCCAGGCCCAGTTTAGCCACATAAAAAACTAAAATAATATAGTTTATTATTATTAAAATATATATGAAGTAAGAAAGTGCCATATTTTTTTTATTTACATTTAGGTCAACCAACTACCTAGTCATCATGACTTACGTCAAACAAATAATCTAGTTCATATAAAATTAATATTACATATGCACAGTTATTCTAATTATACCATTTCAATTAAAATATACAGCAAAATGGCCGATAATATAAATAAAAAAGGAGACTCGCATACTTTGAGGGTTCTGAACAAATCAAATTTGGAACTTCTATTTCTGGTTATTTCAAAGACATTAATTTTCAATCATATTCAAAACTTTTGCCGTCTTATTGATTAATTTTTTACCATTAGAATCCTACATTTTCCCTGATAAACATAGACGATAGAATATTTTCAAAACTGCTAGGACTGAAAGCAAATGGTAGCTGTTCAATACATTGTACGATAAATACATTTCTAAAACTTATGAACAAAAAAATGCAAGTATTTTTTTTAGTTGGCTAGTTCACATAACAGCTTAGTTCTAGCTTTAGCTTAGGACTTTAGATGGCTCTGTGTGAATTGTCCTATATCTTATTATAATTCCAAATTTAAAATGGATAACATTAATACTTCAGAAATTTAGAGCTATATTAAATTGTCGTAACTATTTTACTTCGGAACCCTAAAAAAGAAAACAAACATACTGAATTTGTTACCAAGGTTGAAGCTCCTAATTAATAAAGATTAATTACTATGTCGATGAATATTCATTGTAAATGGCCGCCTAAAAATAATTCAACGTTGGTATGCCTAATAGTGTAAGCTATGTAATTATGTATATATATGTTATGTTATATAATTCATAAAAAATACAATTAAACTAATACATACATTATTATTCTTTATTATAACAATACTAGCTGTGCGCCGCGGTTTCACCCGCCTGAAATTTATAGCCTATATATTATTCTGGTGTATTATATTACTGTAAAGTTTTATCAAAATCCGTTTGTAGTTTTTGCATGAAGAATAACACATTCATAATCACAGACTTTCGCGTTTATAATATTAATAGCATAAACGGCGACTTCCTTTGTTTTTTTTATTTAATAAAAATAGCCAAAATCGTTTTATCGGACGATCTATCTTTACGTTAAAATCCATTAAAACCTGTTCAAATTTAAATCACAAAGGCTGACAAACACACTTAAATATTTATAATGTTAAGTATGGAGGTAAGGAATCCTTCCACCTCAGTTAATGGTATGATGTGGCTGAAGCGAAGGTATCTGATGGACCTGATGAGTGAGAGGTATCGACGGTTTTTTGAAGTACGTCGGCAAAAGGGCCCCTTAAACTTACACCCGGGCCTCAAGTCCAAAATAAGGGGCCTATTAAAATCCTTTTCGAATCCCAGATATGTAACTGTGTAAAACATAAGAGATGTTAAATAATTTATAAATATTTATAATAATAAAAAAAGTACCTGCGACTTCCTTTTTTTTTTAATAAAAACAGCTAATATCGTTTATAAAATAAAAAAAAATGTTAGGGGTCCACCCTTAACATTTTTTTTTCAGTCCTTATCACTAAGGGGTCTAAAAATAGATAATAGCCGATTCTCAGACCTACTGAATATGCATATGAAATTTCATAAAAATTAGTCCAGCCGATTCAGAGGAGAATTGTAGCTAACATTGTGACACGAGAATTTTATATATAAGATAATAAATATGTAAAAAAATACTTGTAATCCAAGTTACCTACCAACATAAATCAACTAATGGCAACTGAGAGAAACAAATGTGTACAAAGAAACAACAATATTGTTTCTTAAGCTCTCGAACATTATGAAAGTTGCTAACTGCAATTTGTCATCGGAGTTTTTATTGTTGGCTCAAATTTCTTGCATAATTCATTATTTATAATTTTCTTGTATAAAAATTATTATTAGATGATTTATAGTAAAATATATATAGTATTTTTTTTTCTTATGGATGATAATGGAATGCAGCACTTGCCTGCGCTAACGGTTTATGCTGGCGGGACACCAGTGGAGGATGATAAGATGAGCATGAGGTCAGGTCAGTTAGTCCATCGTGGTAAATTCGCCATGAATTCATCACTATGATTTCTAGAGGGAACTATGTGGAGGTCAACCTAACGTAGTACATTGCTAGCAATGGGGTCATCAGTCCACGTGACTAACAATCCCCTTTCCTCCAATATAAAGTAATTTAAAGTTCCTGTAAGATATAATTAATATTTTCTGTAACTGGTGCAAAAAAGTGTAAAATTAAATAAAATTGTTAATTTTTTTTATTTTTAATTAATTTCAATTTGTTAATTGTTAAAATTGTTGTACAAATTTGTGTATATTTGTTTGTGTCAGTCTGGGTTTTTTCTATGCATTACATACTTACAAAAAATATATTTATAAATTCTGTCAGTTATCTGGTACGCAAAGAACAAGTTTAGGCTGTGAATTGCCTAGGGTTATTGTAATTATTATTATTACTGTACATAATAGGATCACATATGATGTACCCCATCATACATATCTAATAACAAAAGCTTCGAATTAAATAGAGAAAATAGTAATAATACAAATCCTATACAGTTCATGTAGTGCCATCTAGTCCCAAGCAATGCCGAAATAGTTTTATAGATTGACAGCTAATAGAAATAAATAAACAGATTTTCATAAATACATAATCACACTCATAAATATATATGTTTGTATTGTGCTTGGATTCGAACTTGAGACATATCGGATGTAAAGCATTGAAAATATGTATGTATAGTTTAATTGTTAACTTACCAGTTATAGTATATACCATAATAGATATTTGCAAACGAACGACAAATAGTCTCGAGGGAAATAAAACTGAAAGCATAATTTAAACGTGAACAAATAACACAGAATACCTACCTACCCAGTCATTACGTTTATGGCAATCATTTATTGAACTATTTTTTAATAAACATATTGTAATATCATGCAATTCAATTATTAGCATTATGATTATATAAACTAGCTGTACACGCGACTTCGTCCGCGTGGAATTTAACTATATTTTACTAAAATAATAATAGCCTAAGTTACGTTAAGTTAGCATTGGCAGGTAGCTGATGTAAGAAGTAAGTAGTAGAAGTAAGTAAAGTAAGAAGAAGAAGACAAAGTCCCGTCAAAATCGGTCCCGCCATTTCAGAGATTAGCCAGAACAAATAGACAGACATCAGCTACCTGCCAAAGTCAGGTAGCTTGTTATAATTATTACAATAAACTTAAACAACTCTACGATTATATACAATACTTTAAAAATTGAAGCACTAAAATTATATGGAAATTAATATTTAATGTAATTCACATTTATTTCAGAACAAATAATTTCTTTGTAATTCAATCATTTCCGTTGATATATTTTTAGTAAGTTTATTTATTATTAATGAAATTAAATGCAACTGAAGCGGAAGTTCTTTATTTTATTATTGAAATGGGAGAGTTGCCAGATTTTGGCAGTGAGCGTACTTGAAACAAATAGTAGGTATCTACAAAAAATTTTAACTGAATAAATTACTTGGTCGAAGCTTACACTAGGTCTAACTGTGGTCTCATACTTTCATTGTTTTACTATAAAAATAATAGAATACACTATTGTTAAAGTTAAACCCAACAATACCATCATAATATACTAACAGCACAGCAGACTTTAAACAATATATATTAGTTAGCTCTGCCTAATACTTGCACAAAAGCTTAAACTTTTGAAGAAACTAAGTAGAATGTTTTTTGTCTACAAGACTGTCGAAAAGAAACGTGAAAGACATGGCGTATTTATTAGATACAATAGAGAGTGGATGAATATAAAATGGTCCCCTAAACTAACGGACCAGTGAAAGATGATAGGATAAAAATAAAGATATTCATAAATATATTATAGAAATACAAATAATCTTTATTCAAATAGACTCAATACTAGCACTAATGTATAGTCATATTTTTTATTCTACCACTCATTCGGAACGCAGACTCGTCACAAGAAGAACAATTAGAAAAGTGCGCGTTGCTCTTTAAAGTAAATGTTAAGTAAATACACGTTAACAAGAATTAGGCAGGCGATAATCAACATAGAAATCGCTACGCACTCGCAATTAGTGCAATCAGATAATATTGTCAACGCTATGAGTTAGATATTTTCTACAAAAACATTATTCTTATTTATAAAATAATATATAGCTTTTTACAAAGAAATTCATGAGTATGATTGTTTACATTGGTCATGAATACATGTATAGTTTATTTTTTTAGAATATGTATATAATATACATGGAAAACACCCATTGTCTATCTACATATATTTTGTATGTGTTTTCAGAAATAAAAATTGTATCAGTTCCATAGTACCCATAACACAAATTCTGCTTACAATGCCACTAGATGACATTGTGTGAATTTTCCAGGGAAAAAAAAAAAATAGGCAATAAAAAAAGATGTATAAAACTGTTTCCAACAGCGACTTTAGTCATTAACCAATTATGTACAACCTTCAATAATTAATATAGTGAAACTTTCTTATGATCCAAAAAACTAAAGTTTACTGACACGCATTTTCTATTTAATACCTACTGTTACGTTACTTCCGTTGTGCCGAATGAGTTGTCACAAAGCGTTCATAGTAAGCCTCTGTAGCCGATCTGTAGTGTGCTATCCAATGCGCCAGCGCAGTATATTGTAGAGGATCGCGATACGCGCACACAGCCTGCGCGCGCGAGCAATATTACGTGTATTCTGTGTTTCGGATTATTGTATTGAAATATTTGGTGAGTTACATTCAAATAATAATATATTTAAATAAAATGTCCACTAAAATAATAGATTAAATTATGAATAAAATTATATAATTTATCACTTTCATTATTTGGTAATCTATTGCACTTATGTAAATTAATATAAGTTATATTTTATATTAATTTACATAAGTGTAATTATATCCATAATGTTATTATTATAATTCTAATCAATGTAAAATGAATTATTATGCAATTATTCAATAATTATTGGAATGAATATTACAATGAAAACTAGCAATATATTTCCTATTTATATTAAATACTACACAAACTTTTGTAGGACCATTTAGCTTGCGGCTATTATATAATACAAATAGATTTTAATATTAACTCATTCATATTCAATTCAATAAAATTATCATACTCTGCCATGATGTGTGAAAGATGATATGGTAAGAAAGGAAGTAAATAACGCGATGACTGCGAACAGGGATGAATGGAAGCGAAAAACATATTACGCCGACCCAAATAAATGGGATAAGGAAGAAGCAGATGATGATGACTCTGCCATGGTTCATACATTATTTTATTTTCTGACAATTTCAAAACTGAACAATTAATAAAAATATGGATATTATCATATAAATAATATTATCACAGATAATATAATATTACATAATATTATCATATAAATAATATTTAATAAATATGAAAGATTATTACATAAAAATATACATTTACAAAGAAAACATTAAAATAAATATTCTTATATTAGTGATAATAATCATAAAAATAATATTCTTTTGGTACGACGGTAAACGAACGGTCAAAATCACATATTTAATTAGTGAATGTTAATAAATTAATAATATCTAATAATTTATTTAATAAATTGATAGAATAATAAAATTAAATCGCTGTCTAGCAAACGGTTTATCATCATTCGAAAATGTAAGCAATAACGATAAATACTATATGAAATTTATTATAGATTCTGGGAAACATTTAATTGGTTGATTCCAGCATATACAATAATTCTCTGAAACATTTGCTAGGATTTTAGGAATTTCGAATGAACGATAGGTACGGGAAAAATGAAACGTGAAATGACACGCAGAACCAAGTGGTTTAAAATACATCAATCATTTACGATAAGGGAAATATTTTGAATCCCTAGTAGGCAAATGTTGGAAGCATTTTATATTAACAATTATTTATATTTCTGATTTTAAATATTAAAGGATAAAACATGGTAGTATTGGTTCCTACACCTACTGAGTTAGACCGATGTATATCCTCTAGCTTAGTTACCAAGTGATTCCAAGTATATTGAACATGACAGAAATCGAAATCGTATCATAAGGGAAATAGTTTTAATCCCCAATAGGCAAATGTTGGAAGCATTTTATATTAACTTGTAAGGATAAAAAGTAGTAAGTTTGGTTCCCACACCTTCTTAGTTAGACCAGTGTAGTTCCTCTAGCTTAGTGACTAAATGGTTCTAAATGTAATAAACATAACAGAAATCGAAATCATATCATAAGGGAAATAATTTGAATCCCCAATAGATAACTGTTGGAAGCATTTAATATTAACTATTATTTATATTTCAGATTTTATATCTGTAGAGAACTAATCCTGGTTCTCTAACCAATTTAAACCATTTTAATTTCGTCTAGCTTAGTACAAGTTACAAAGTTTTATATGAATCTTTTTGACTAACTGATGTTTCGACTGTACTTTTTTTTAATTAATGGGAATGGAATACTGTCTGACGGCCCTCCTGATGGAAAGCGGTAACCGTTGTATATATTTATCAACAGTACTACGATTAGTAACAGTACTGACATCAGGTTATTATGTGACTCTCGTGTCACGACTTATCCGTTTCCATTCCAAAGGACTAAGCTTCAATTGTAATTTCACTGCCTAATCTTACTATAATACTTTGTATACCTATTTTTACACTAATGGGGCCCCCATTAGTGTAAAAATAGGTATACAAAGTAAGCTGTTTGGCGACTGAATTAAGTGAGACTGAGTTACGGCTTTTTACAGTCTACCTCTAGTAAACTTTATCCTGGTTTTGTTATTTCAGACGTCCGGTATTTATAGCATTATATAGAAAATACAATTTTTGTTTGAAAGCGACCAAAATGGTTACATTAAAAATAAACTAAACAACCATTGTTTGAAAGGATTTCAATAGATTTTTTAATGATAGGTTACATTAAACATAATAATATTATTAGCTTTATTATACATACTTTTGTAACGTGCGAGAATCGAACCACCAAAAGGCGGTCTGCTTCGCTAGATCGCTGAGGCCGTCAAAATAATCTTTCAATTCCATTTACAGTGTTCATAATATTTACGGGAGAAACAAAACTTTTACGGTTAAAGTTTATTGTAAAAGTTAACTGGTACCACACTTATATTAGAATGTAAATTCGCACACCCACTTTATTTATTCGTGTTACTTTACTGCACCTACAATATAAATTCGGTTAAGACCATTATAATTTAAATGCTTGATTGAATTTCTATCAAACAACAGATAAACACTGTAAAATATTTATATTATACCAGCTGTAACCGCGGTTTCACCGGCGTTAAATTTCAAAATATAGATTTAAATAAAAAATATAGCCTATGTTTTATTCTGATACATAAGCTGTATTACTATAAAGTTTTATCAAAATCTGTTCAGTAGTTTTTGCGTGAAAGAGTAACAAACATCCATACTCACAAACTTTCGCATTTATAATATTACTAGCTACTCGTCCCGGCTTCGCCCGGGTGTACATCCGCTTCAAAATCCGTGGAGTAGTTTTAAAGTTTTAAGCATATATGGGGACGGACAGACAGCGACAGCGACTTTGTTTTATGCTATACTAGCTGAACCCGCAAACGTTGTTTTGCCATATACATTAAAGTCCCTATTAAAAATAAGGGTTGATGGTAGAAGGGTGAAAATTTAGGGTTGATGTATTTTTCAATCCTAAATAATAAAAAGAATAAAATATTATGTCGAAAAAATAAAAAAAGTATATTTAGGGGTGGATATCCCTTACCACTTAGGGGTATGAAATATAGTTAGTAGCCAATTTTCAGACCTACTGAATATGTATGTAAAATGTCATAAAAATCGATCAAGCCATTTGGAAAGAGTATGGTAACTAACATTATGACACGAAAATATTATATGTAATATAATAATAATACAAAACCCTGGATAATTCACACAGCGCTAAAACAAGCGTAGTTTATTCTATAGGTACTACAATTTAGGACTGACATACATAATACATAAATATGTTTATGTATAAACATAGAAAAACAATAAGACTAATAAGCAGATATAGAATCACGAATACAAATATTTGTATTGTAAATCGAACTCGAACTCGCGATCACAACAAGAGAGCATGCTGAACCGCTAGTCCGACAAGGTCGGCTACAAAATGTAATCTATACATCTATACATATAAATAAAATTGGAGTGTCTGTTTGTAATATTGAAATAACCGATATTTACTACATGCATATGAATATAAATACAGTATATACACCAAATTAACATTTTTTTACAATTTTTATCTGTCTGTCTGTTCCGGCTAATCTCTGAAATGGCTGAACCGATTTTGACGGGACTTTTTTGGGCAGGTAGCTCATGTAATAAGAAGTAACTTAGGCTACATTTATCTATTTAATCTATTTAATTTTAGAAAATTAAATTTAAATTCCACGCGAAGTCGTGGATACATTTAGTCTTAACTATAAAAGTTATTAAATATTAGTAGATGTAGTGATGTCAAGTCTAATTTGACCAACTTTTTAAGCTACTTTTAAATAACCAATACAAAGTTATATAATGTTCTAAGTCCGGTTTGTTACATCATAAAACGGTATGTTATGAGAATTTAATCTATTACATACATAACATATAATAATAATAAACCTGGACAACTCACACAGAACCTAGAGTCCTAAGCTAAGCAGTGATTTTTGTTATGCGTCACCCATAACAGAAAGCACTGCTTTGCAATGCACTGCTAATTACAAAATTAATAGTTAAGTAGTTTAATTCATTAACATTACTTAAATATTAATTTTGAAAATTATTTATACATAAAAAAAAATGAGACAGTACTTAAAAACATTCATTCTCATGAATACAAATATTTTCATTGTGCAAGTAACCTAAATTACTCCTTGAGCTTGAGCTTTCAATAAATTTTTGATGTAAGTGCTTTTCTTTGCAAGTAGTGAAAAGTTGATAAGTTGAAATTACAAACAGACATTTCAATTTTATTTAATTCTACACACTAATGAATCATATTATCATAGAATACAGACGCCATAGAACTGTTTTTAGAGCAAACATCATCGCAGAACGGAAACCGCGTTTAAAAATAACACATTACGTTTTATAATAACAATTTACAATTTAGCTTGCATTTATGATGCAAATTTTTCTATTATTTCATTTCGCAACCAGGGAAATATAAAGAAAATACAATGGAAAAATATGCAGAACAACGTTATTTCTAATGTTATATTTATAAACGGAAATAAATTTTAAACACAGTATTAAACTCGTAAATTATTAAACCCTCGTTAGGGTTAAATAAAGAATGGATTACAGACATGTTCAAACATGTTATGTAGTGTGTTACATAAGTTATAAATAAAATTAATGAGTGAAAGCCATCTGTTACATTGATAAATAATATAAACACTCAAAGGTCTACATGTACTTACTAATTTGATTTAATTCGTGCATTATATAACAGTAATACTGTAGTTTGAACTTGATAATGTGGGCTCAGTCTTTGCTATCACTATAATGGCAAATATCAGGGGTAGAGGGGATTATTAGTAATGTGAACTGATGATCATATTGTCAGAAATATACTATGTCAGGTTGACCTCCATGCGATTACCCCTGGAAACCATCGTGTTAAATCCTTGGTGAATTTGTCCCTATAGGCTAACTGACCTGACCTCATCCTCCACTGGTGCCCCGC